CTTTTAAATTTAGGTGGGTACTGGAGATGTTCAGCAGTACTGACTGGAGAACTGAATCTGTCACAGTTTGGTTAGGAGCAAAAAGAAGCCATCACCAAATTCTGTTCCCAGTTCTTAATTTACGGGCTGACATCTTCAGGGTAAATAAAGATAGTGTTAAGTGCTCTGCATATTTTTCTCTGCATTTTTTGGACAATCAATATTATATTGCATCTTCTTTCATGCATTTCTAGCTTTCAGAATGCAAACTTCAGTTATGTTTTCTTAAATACAATGACAGGAAAAGGTTGTGCTGTAATATGAGCCTACAATAAGCAGTATTGTATTATAACTGTCAAACGTAGCAATACATTTGGAAAACATTAAAAAGTTTGCAAGTGGCTACACAGGGTAATTTTGGTATTTTGTTTTTGTTTTCAAGAATGCATTAAAATTACAAATCTCTTGATTTCTAGAGAAGACTTTGTTTAGTGCTCGTGGAGCAATCCACTTAAGTGAGTTTAGTTTTAAGCCAAAGGAAACATGTACTTATTTACATCCAGTTGACCTCTTCAGGTTCAGCGGAATTCCTCAAATGGACAAAGGGTTTAAATTTGTTGTCTGTCATCTCTATCTAAATCCATGAGTCAACCAACACTTAATTCTGTCTTCCAGAGTAATCTATCTATCTGAACATGTAATATGCAGTAATCCTCAGGAGGTAATACCCTAGATAGGTCAAAGTAACTGTAGCTTCAGGAGGTGAAGACAACCTCAAGACCTGTTAACATGCCTGAGAACTGTGAATGGCTTTGTCTTCCACTGGAATTTTCTGCATGTCTGCTGACATGAGCTATCACATGTCCATGCTACGAGCATTTAAAGTCAGCATACCATCCAAAAACTGAAATGGACCCACTAGGAGCATGGTGTAATATAATAAGAACTGATAAAAAACTACAAATAGTTGTACTAATTTCCAAGCCTTTTTCCATTTTACACATAATCCACATAATCCACATTTCCACTGCAGTATAGTTTCATAACAAGTCCCTCTATTTCTGGCAGAATATACAAACCTGTCTCTTTATGTCTTCTACTGTCAGGATTCTCTTAAAGTCTCTTAAGACTTTTTTGTTTGTTTGTTTGTTTGTTTGTTTTATTTAAATTTCCAATTCTCCTAAGGTGAATGTTTGAAAAATTGATTATACATATTTTATTTTTCTTTGCTAAAATATTCTTGGGTTTGAACATCTAATTTCTTCCATTTAAATCTATGGGCAGAGACGCCCTCTATTTGGGGGAATGAAGTAAGATGATGCTTTCAATACTTACTAATAAATATTAATCAAATCTTTAGAAAGTAGTAAAGACTGCTTTTCCTTTTAAAAATTACATTTTAAGGAATTAATTGAGAAAGAAGAAAGGAAAGGAAAGGAAAGGAAAGGAAAGGAAAGGAAAGGAAAGGAAAGGAAAGGAAAGGAAAGGAAAGGAAAGGAAAGGAAAGGAAAGGAAAGGAAAGGAAAGGAAAGGAAAGGAAAGGAAAGGAAAGGAAAGGAAAGGAAAGGAAAGGAAAGGAAAGGAAAGGAAAGGAAAGGAAAGGAAAGGAAAGGAAAGGAAAGGAAAGGAAAGGAAAAGATACTATTCCAACAAGGCATAAAGTAGAAAAACAGACAAAGCTCTCAGTTATGCTAGTAAATAGAAGCTGGGCCTGATATAAACCCCATTGAAATCCATTGAGGAAGTTTTCATCTTACCAAGGTTTGAGTCTAGCACTTACTTCTAGCAGTCAAAGTTTCTTGGGTCTGGCATTTCTAGCCCTGCTCAAACATTTCTGTCTCTCACTCACAGTCCCATTCCTGAAGGAAACTTTACAGTATAACTTATTGGCCCAGTTCCAGTATAGCTCACAAGGGTTTGATTTCTGATTTCTTGCCCAAGAGCAACAGCAGAGCCTCTCTGCATTACAACAATGTACCATTGGCTGTTGGGTGCACACTTGATGCATATAATCATACTAGCCCACTTCTCAATCAGCCCACTCAGCTGTGGTGATGGGATTTTACACATGGTGGGATACATTACGAGATATGGACATGGTCCCTGTCAATGTGGCTTCTCCTCTGGGATTTGTTCTACTGTTCCAGGCCTTCACACTCAAAATGGAAGAGGAAGAGTTCAGTCCTGAGTCCCTTGCAGCCAGAGACCAGTCTAATGCAGACTTTCTGTGCTTTTGAATTCTTCAGGCACTGCCCTCTCAAGAACGGCAGCCTTGCTGCTGTGCCATCTGCATTTCCACTGGCTGGGGACAAAAGCCTCTTAACAATCACCATGGCCAGGTTATCTGATAGCCATTAAATATAGGCCAGATTAGTGGAGCAAATACTTCTGAGACTACTTGATGTCTCTGCAATAAAAGACTGAACTGTGGCAAATCTGGAATTCAACACTGGCATTTTTACATTAGTACTCAGGTGCCATCTAAATGCCAAGGCTCCCAGCACTGCAGTGTAGGAAGTGTCTGTGCTCCAAGGGGCAGGAGGCCATACAGCGTTAGCAAGAGACTCGAGTACTGTTAGCCAAAAAAACCCCTTCTGATTACCTAAATACAGTGCAGTCTGCATGATGGCACTGTATCCTCTCTTGTTTCTTACAAAGACTAGGTAGCATTCTCTCACTTTTACAGTTTTTTTGTCTCCCACTTTTTAAAGGAATACTCCCTCCTTTTTTTTTTATATATATGCAACATCTACGTATGGATGTATGCATTTTTTTATTGTTTCACCTCTCTGTAAGAGAACACAAAACAGAGAAGGGTTGGATGGAGAACCTAATATCTTGCATCTTTATTCTCAGAGGTTAAGAAGGAACTTCTGCAAATATAATTTAGGCTACAAGGTGTTTTTGTTGTTGTTTGTTGTTGTTGTTGTTGTTTTTCCCACTGGCTTTTTGTAGCATGTAGTCCAGCAAGGTATTCAGACTGCAGTACAGCAAATTACTACTGTGAGTCAGACAATCAAATACAGGACATATCCCCAAATGCATCAAGACTACAATTGCATGGAACTTTCTAGCAGTTTGTAAGTAGCTTTTCTCCTAAAAATCAGTTTTCTCATTAGATGTAAGGAGAAATATGTATTTGTTAACTGGCAGAACAAATTCTAGAATTGAATGTGCAAGTTTTCTTCCTAAAGACTCCCCAGACACCCAGAAGAAGAGCTGCCAGGGCACAACTCTCACTTCTGGCTGGGGTTGTGGTACTGCCCAGAACCCTCTGTTGAGGACTCTGATGTGGAACTGTTAACACAGGCCCAGAGCTCGTGACTTCAGCAGAGTCAGAATGAGCTGTTCCCTCCTCAGAATTAACAGTCAGTGATCTCTTTGGTTGTATTTTTATCCAGGGCTGCTGCTCAGCCTTGTGACCTTTGTTTTGGCTGCCATGAGATCCTACCACCCAAGAACATGGAAACATGATTAATGGATGTCTGGCTTATGCTTTATGTTACATCAGCCCTCCACATTCAGACTGGGTTGACAGATACGCTAGGATTTCCCTCGTCTGCTCTCTGTCTGTTAAACAGCTCTGGTTATTGATTTTTCTAATTATGTTTTCCAAAAATCCTGAGAATTATGTTTTCACTTTAGATACATTGTTCAGTTCTCATTCATGCTTGCAGCCTTCTGAAAAGTAGTCTCAGTCTGAGATCATCAAAGTGGACTGAAAAAGTTAGGTGCTCATATTCAAAAGAACCTTAATTTCCTTGGGTTTCTCTGAGAAGTTTTGCCCCAGTTTTAAAACTCTTGAAAAAGCCAAGTGTAAATACACATGCAAGGAGGCCTGAGCAGCTATAAATGATGGAGACATCATACCCTCTAGTGGCAGCAACAAATGTCATTCATAAACCCCTGCAGCCCAAGCAGCTTTTCTGTTTTGGGAGAAGCTTTTGAGGATGGAATCTCAAAGGGGGCAACGAAGTACATAGTAAACCTGACCTATACTCTTGAGGACCAGGCACCAGGCAGAGTCCTTTATAACACATTAAAATCACAAGAATCAAACAGGAAGACTTGAACAGAAAAATGAGTGATAACAATACCCAAACTCATGTACTTAATGGCATGTCTCTAGGTACAAGAACTGTCCCCTTTATTGCTGCCTACTTCAACAGAACATAAATCAGGAATAACTGCAGGAAAGCCATTTGTATTTTATTTTCCTTTTTGTTCATTTTATGTTCTTATATATTCTTAGCTATTAACATAGAATCACCGCTAATTGTATGAAATAATGTAGTCAAATGTTAAACATCTTGCATGCTTGGTTTACATCAGCTATATATCCTGCAGGGTTAAAAAATTCTGGAGGGAGGAAGCAATGTCTGCTGGTTTTGGGTATTATTAAGAGTATAAACATAAAAATTTACTGAGAACAGGAAAGGTTTATTACCTGACATTTGAGATCATATCCCTCCAGGTAGTTTTGTTCTTATACAACAGTTACCTAAGCAAAGCAATGGGAAGGATAAGCATGTTTAATTCACGCCTGCTAATATATAGTGGGTTGAAGAAAGCAGCTTATGAATTTGCTTTTGAAAGTTCACTGTTTGGGGTTTGCTAAGCTATTTGCCTGGGGGCAGGATGACATTCCTGTGGCATGTGCTGTCTTGAATTCCACATAACACACACTCTTTTTTGCCTGAAACCAGATTAAAAGAAAAAAAAAAAAAAAACTCAAGTAGAAATTGCAAAAAGCAATAGGTCTTTAACTGCATTCTGCACTGTGATGAAGCATAAATTGTTTCTAAGGTTTGGTAATGGCATATCAGTGTAATAACCATTAGTTTAGAAATACATGTTATTTACTGCAATACTGATCCAAATCTCCATCCCATATTCTTCACAACATAATTCAAACCAAGGTTTCTTTATTTCAGTAATGTTCAGTCTCATAGTTTTTCTGTTGTTACAGTTTGTGTAATTAATTTGAGGTCTCTGACTAATTCCTGCTTTCCCTATTTCAGGTTTCCTATGAAGGAGATTTACTAAAACATGATGGTCAGCGCTGCTTTTTCTTCCACTCTTGCCAGGGGCCAGAATGCTTCTGTAAGTCCTATTGCCACTGGCACACCACTCTGCAGTAATTATTGCAGCCCATGCATCAGCACTGACAAATAAAGAAACTATTAATTTATCGGTTGGACTTCATAATCTTGGTTTTGTTCATTTAAAAGCAACATAGGATGTATAAGTATCCTCAACCATATTTTTATTTTCTTTTCAAGCACCAGATAATATGGTAACATATACTCGTGTTGAAGTAAAATGCAGTTTTTTAAGGTTTCTTTTGCAAAGATTTTGTAACAGTCTAGCTGGGAGCATAGGGCTTGTGCAGGCACACACATCTGTGCACCAGACCCTAGGCATCCCCCTACAGCATACCACCAGTGAGACAAAAATTAAAAAACAGAAAAGACTCTGCTTAGCTGGTCCATACACACAAAGGGACAAACAACTATCCTAAGGGGTAACAGCCATTCGGATATAACACATTACTATTAAATGGCATCTGGGAAAAGACAAGAGGTCCTTTAAGATTCCCCACGTGGAAAAGACTAAAAGGTTACTTTTCTTTTTAATTAGACATCAGAGATTATGCCCAGGCTGTTTTCATGACAGAAGCCCTTTAGAAACCTGGCTTCGGTAGTCCTACTGTTTGTGAAATGACTAATTTCACAACCCATGTGGAAATCCATAGAGAATAATAAACACGGGAGAAAGAAACAGGTTTGACTGTGCATGTGGCATGTAAGTGAGAGAAAACAAAACCAGAGGTTTGGGTAAAAAATAGAGTAGGGAGATTGAAGGCAGAACAAATCACTGGGGAAAGGAGATCTCTGGAGAATAGGAAAAAGAGTAAAAGATCTCCAATAGCAGAGCTGAGAGGCATGAAAACAGTCAGGTGAGTTGAAAAAACGGAATGTAGGTGGAAACATGAGGGATCAAGGGAAAGAAAAGGGGTTTAGGTTTTCATTATTTGGGCTTGGCTGATGATACAGCACTGGAACTGTCCCTGCTATAAAGAAAGGTCTGTCAGTAAGTGGAAAAAAAAAAAAAAAAAAGAAAAAAAAAAAAAGTACAGTCCAAACTCTCCCTATGTTTTGTAGCTGGTAGAAAAAGGAAAGTGAAGAGGCTGCAAGTTGAAAATGCCTTTTAGAAATGTATTTTGTTTTCCAGAGAAATGTGGTCATTTCTCATGACCTCTGTTTTTTAAATAGCTGACAAAAACAGAGGCCTTTTCTTGCTCCCTTTGAAGTTAATGGCAATAATTCAATTACTGTCAAGTGATTAAGTTCAGAATAAGACAAAATAATGATGCTCCTTCACGTAGATAGAGTACATAAAAAGGATTACGAATCAAATAGAATTTCTAACAAGTAGTTATTACCTTATGCTATTACTTAGACAAAAATTAGAATAAACTATATGCCAAGCAAGCTGTTCTTGTTTCTCTCATGCAGATATATGCATGAAAAGTTGGAAAAAAATTCATTTGAGACTTAGCTCCTCGTTCACTGAAAATCTCTAAGAAAAGAAGAGACAAAGTTGATGTAGGCTATGGAAGAGAAAGACATTTCTGATTATGGATGATCAAACCGTAACATCCTCTTTAGTATCCCTCTTCCTCATTGTCTGAGGAGAAGCTGTTATAAAAATAATCCCTCAACGGTAAAAATAAAAAAATTCTTTTGGCCCAGCACACTTCTCTTTAAATGTAATTGTTACTTTTGTTTTCTGGTTTAACGTACCAGTTATTCTCTGTATTCTCAAGGTAGTTTCTCCTTGCTTCTATATCTATATTTTCTGCTGCTAGACGATGTCTTCCTGAGCAATGACTCAATGACTCACCAAGCCTTTATAAGGACAAGTCGTTTGGGAGATAAACATATTCCCAGAGTTCATGTAGCATCAGTGTGACTTGATGTGACCTCCTTCATGCCTGCCTCAGTAGATTTTCAGCTGAGGAACAGCAGTTTTAGACTCACCCAAATCTTGATGGATTCTCCCATCTTTCTACCCTGTTTATATATCACATTTTCCAACGTTTTGCTTCATGAGGTGTATTGGGTGTAGGTGGAACAGTTTCGATAGCAGAGAGCTTCAGGTCTGGCCTCTGGGAGATGAGGCCAGGGACTGCCCTGGACTGGACACAGCCACTTCCAGATGGTCCTAACTAGTTCCTGTGAACACACAACAGGGCACAGCTGAGCTCATCAGCCAAACTGGTGGCACCTCTGCAAAAAAGTATATAAGAAAGGCCTGCTATACAGGAAGGGAGGGGAAAGAAGAATGTGAGAAACAGTCCTGCAGACATCAAGGACTGTGGAAGGAGATGCTGCAGGCACTAAGGCAGAGATTGCCCTGAAAAGTGAGAGAACAGTAGGGTAGGTATCTGGCCACAGTCCAAGATCAACCCACTTCAGAGGGTTAGGCAAAGCAGCAGCTGATCATACTGCAGCCCATATCAATAAGATATATTTCAGACTTAACTCATCCTATGCACAATGCCTATACTTTGATAGCCAAGCCAAAATAGCATTACAAAGTTACTTCATTCAAGGGATTCAACCTCTTGAAGTCCTGTCTTGAGCCTTCTCTGTCTCTCAGTCTGAGCAGTTTTGGTATAAAGAATATTTCTCTTCCTGAGATGATGGTATTTTCATTAATTCTCTGCACTAGACTCATTACTGACAGGTATGACTAGAAAATGAGTGGTATTATTTAACTACTTGGTATCACAGCTTATGGATTGATGTAGGCAGGGACTGATGTTTCTTTTTCAAGTTTTTCTTTTCCTCTCTTAGGGAAAAGTATGTTCTCTATTTTTCTCCAGGTCTTTCAGTACATTCTCTATGGTATTTAAGAAATAACTGGTAGCAATAACAGTGGATCTGCAAGACATTTATGTGTCAACACCAATTCCAACCCTTCCCTCCATGATCAGTGAATTTATTTTCTCTTCCAAGTCCTTTTACCCTCAGAAACATTTGCTGAAACTGTAATTTCTTTGCCCAGCTGCTTTAACAGAAAATGCTGTTATTCGTAATCTATATACAAGTTATGTATTGCTGTTTGTTGACTTGTGTTGCTTGATATTCTGTGCCCAGATAGCCTTTTTTTCTCTGTTCTCCATTTTCTTTTTAATGAAGGAACACTTGAAGAGCTAATTCCCATGAGATATAACATTCTCTGCCAAACTGAACACCCTTTAGGCTGTAAGTGCTTTTCCATGGTTCTAAAGGGCAGAAAGGCAAAAGGAGCCTAACCAACCCTTGCACAAGCACTAGGTATTATAAGGTCCTGCACTTCTTTGAAGTAAGACGTCATTGTGCTAGTCATCCTCTCTACATGGATTAGGAGGGTAGAGAAGACCAAATGCGCACGCACACACCTCCCAAGAAGAATAGTATAGTAACTGCAGAGCTCTGAGTGCATGTCAGTTGCAGACACAATGCCATGTGGACTTTTCTCTGAAGTAATATTTCTGCTCACTGCCAATATCACAGAGCTGTTCTCTAACAGCAGTTGCTACAGTACTCTCTATTTTTGTGTTTTGAGTGTGAAGTGATGGCTCTGTCTATGTGAGTGAGTGGGAACCATGTGAAGATACATAGGAAATTATTCTCCTGGCTCTGAGATAGATGTTGAACAGGGCAAGTCCCAATGGTCTGCATTTGTTTCTAATCAACAAGGTTTGCACTGTAACAAGAAACATAAGACAATCTCCTGCCATGGGCAAGGTTCATTACACATAGAAGAGCACACACACTGTGTTCAGAACTGCTAAGAAAACACGCAGAACAATTTTAAACCTTACTGGTCTGTGTTAAAATCTGACAGTGTAGTTAAAAATGACATTACGACTTCTTCTGTAGAAACATTCTTTAGCAGACAGGACCACAATAACCCTAGAAATTTACCTTCTGCATGTTCAAAAGAATGTTGTCAGAAAGAAACATGAACCACGTGATACCTATAGTACATCTCTCTTGTCTCTTTATTAACCATAATAATTTCATCTTCACCAATGCCACCTCAGCAGAGTGAGAAAAGGCTTCCAGGACCAGATAAAAGAGAAAGCAGATTGCAAGCTGTAACAAAGGAAAGCCTGCTTAAAAGTCAGCTGAACTTTACTGGGCGTAACCTAGACATTGGGAAAAAGGGTATGAAAAAAGTCAAACTATTTATTGGCCCTTGTGAAGGTGTTCTTAAAATTTGGCTGGAGCTGGAACAGCCACGGCCTTCCATAGATGGTTTTATCACTTTAGGGAAACAGATCAAGATCATTAACTTAATTTCTTGAAATTATTGAAGTCTGTTCCACATTATGACCTTTAAGACAGGTGGACTGTGAAGAAAAAAAAAAAAAGAAAAAGAAAACAAGGTAACCAATATGATTCTGGATAAGAAAAAGCTTGATTAGCTATTAAAAAGAGAGGAAGCTTTGCCTCAGAATTTGCACGCAATGTGGGAATCTATTTTTAGCTTAGACATTTTTTTGCAACTGAAAATATTTTATTCCTAGCTCTTCTTGCTCCATGCCCTTCCATTCCTCCTCTCTTTTCTAGTTTCTTCTCTGCTCCATTTCTCCAAATTTTAACAGTGTTGAGAACTAGGCACGCAGTAGTTTGTGCAGAAGCATGTTACTTAGGGACTGCTAATGAATTTATGCAATCTGATGGGGAAAAATAATTAAAATAACTTTGTATCTTCGAAAAAATCTGTATAATCCTCATTTGTGGCATTTACAGCTTGATTGTCTTTCACTCACTGAGGTTTTTCTGTGAATGTTGCATGGGCCTGCTTTGTACACCAACTGATCTTGTGGCTGGCTCTATTGAGAGATCTTCCTTGCATTCAGGCAATGAAATATCTGGAAAAGAGAGCTCAGTGAAGCAATCTTTTCAACAGTATTCTTATATCATATGAGACATATGACAACATACTCCAAGTTAGAAAAGACCAAAGAATGATATTCCCTGAAGAGAAACTGAAATGACTGTGAATGTTTAACCGAGAAGAAAATACAAGAAGATATCATAAGCACTTGAAAAATAATGTACATGTATGTTGTGAGGAAATCACACTGCAAGCTTCTGTTTATAACAGTCCGTAAAACAGTAATGATGTGTACCTAATCACATTTAATTGCAGGAAGTTTCAAAGTGGTAAAATTAATAATACAAGGAATAATTATAGAAGAAAAAAAAAAGAAATTAATGAAACCAAAAATTTAGTCATATTCAGAGTAAGACTGAATATCCATATGCGTATGTGTAACCATTTGATAACAACAAAAATGTTGTATCACATAATGCAAATGCAGATCAAGTTTTCAAGTAGTGTTGAAAGAAGGAGAGAAGAGAACCTTTTACCCTCACTTCTGCATAGTATGTTGTCCTGACTTTGGCTGGGATATAATTAATATTCTTCATAGTGGCTGGATTTAGGAGAAAAATAATGCTGACAACACACTGATATTTTAGTTGTTGCAGAGCAGTTCTTATACTAAGCCAAGGACTTTTCAGCTTCTCATAACTGCCCTGTCAGTGAGGAGGCTGAGGGTGCACAAGGATCTGGGAAGGGACAGAACCAGGACAGCTGACCCAAACTGGCCAAAGGGATATTCTATATCGTATGACATCATATGGGGCAACAAAAACTGGGAGGGTTGGATAGGGGTGGAGGACCACTGCTTGGGGGCTGGCTAGTGTTTGGTCAGTGGGTAATGAGCATCAGCACTGTTGCATATTTTTTAATTTATTTATTTATTATTATCATTATTTTCCTTTTCTATTCTATTAAACTCTTTTTATCTCAACCCATGAGCTTTAACTTCTTTTCCTACCAATTCCCTACCCCATTGCACTCAGGGTGGGGTGGTAAATGAGTGAAGAGCTGTGTGGTCCTTAGCTGCCTACCAGGTTAAACGACAACATACGTGTAGGTCTTAGTGATATCTTCCACATCTGTGTCAAAGACAGAAGGC